CGCTGATGAGATCCAATTCCCACCTCTCCATGGGGCGGGCCTGTTTTATGGGGCTTGCGGCCGCCTTCCTTTGAAGACCGGCCAAAAACATCCAGACCGGTGGCCCCCCTGAAGCCAGTAAGGTCAACTGGGTTCTTGTGTATTGCACCACGCTGTTCTTGGCCAGCTGTAGGCTTACTATAAAAAGAGTAACGCTTTCCTCCAGAACCTCGAGATCGTTCCTTTTCACGAAGTCGCAGAATCTTCGCATTGTGGCCAGCCTTTGTTCCCAAGCCGAATGGGTCCACATGCTCTTGGCTATGCGATTCGCCTCGGACGCCGGCGCTGTGACATATAGGTCGTGTCAAAGTGCCGCAATTACTGTAATCTCATTCTCTGGAGTTTTTAAAGACAGAAGAACGTTTAGCAGCAGATCCTTCCCAAGTAGGGGGTGCCCGCGGGGCCCGGCATGGTGGGATGGTGTGCTGGCCTCTTCCCGCGGACAATTCTCCGTTTCCCGGAAACCCAGCGGTACCCGGGCCACTCGGTAAGGATTCCAATGCTTTCCAGGCCCTGGATTTTATTGATTCCGGGCCTTGGTATCGCGGAAATGCCCCATCGTGGCGCCAAGGCCCAGTACCAAGTTCTTTGCTTAGGAAGCTAAGTTTCCACAATTGCAGCACCGAATCCGGCTTACTTCGGGCTCCACCGCGATACGGTCGCTACTTAGTCGGATAGCGGAGTTAAGTACCTTGGAAATAAGGCGCGTCTTGTAATGGGTAAAGTACCTGAACGGAGAGACTGCAGGGAAAATACACGCTATCAATCAATAAGTTTCACGGTTGAGTACCCGGTTTCTCGGACTGGGGAATCCAATGTCATACGCTATAGTTCTCTCGGGAATTGCGCCATGGTCCGGGTAAAACGCGGCCTGGCCTTTTAGGGATCAAGCGGAGGGCCCAACCGGAGACCGCTCATCTGGGACATCGTGCTTCTGGTGTCGCCCACGCCCATGGGTTGAAAGATCTCCAGAATCAGGGGGTTTTGTGGGTATGGGTGGGTTTCCCCCCCACCGTGCTTTACACAATCTGCGCTGGCACGGCACATATGCGTAAATGCATTTCTTTCTTCCTCCCTTGGGAAGCGACAACAAGCCGTAATATTGCACGGGGGGGGGGGGAATTGTTTCCGGGGCCGGAAATAACCTTTGGGCTTCGGCGGAGTCTTTTTCAGCTTCGCATAGCGTGTTCTGCTGCAGTGCCCTCTTCAGCCGAAATTCCCTCGTGGCGGATGGCGTAAATCCATGCCAAAAAATTGCCCCACACCTGGCCTAAATCAAAACCAGGTTTTATGGGCAATGAAAAATAGCTACGATGCGCCGCCGGTAACTGTTCCGGTGAGGCCCCCAATAAATACCCCAAGGCACCCTCAAAGGTTCGGATGTTTTCTTCAGGTCGGAAACTCTTTTCCACGAACTTATTTGTGAGCTCACGAATCCCTCGCAAACCCACCTGGGGTTGGGCCCCCAGCGCATTGAATGGTCGTTCGACAAGCCCGCCCTTCTTAGCAGTATTTGTCACGGTGAGAACATCGGGTGGAAAATAGTGGTTTCCACCCTCTGTTACCGCCCGCTGCTCTGGAAGTCCCGTCTGTTTTTTTTTTTTTTTTTNGGGGGGGGGGGGTAAACCACATCTGTGCCTGATTGGTCTGAGGCTCCATCTGGTTGTTTTCACTGCGCAACTGGTTTTTCTGCGATTCCAACGTGTTAATTTGCTGTTGCATCTTACTGGTGCGATTTTCGGATCCCACGATTTAAGCGTAAGCGTTCTGTTGGATCTTTAATTTTTCTTCAGCCAGTTTTGCCTAGACCATCTCATATTGCTGATACAGCGTTGATTTGGTTTTCTCCAGCGTCATCCACTCAGTTCGGAATGTCGACCGTGCATCGTCAAAAGCCTTGAGAATGTTCTCCTTTGTTGGCATGTTGAACAACACCATAGAGTGTCGCAAAAAAACGAAACTGAGTTTTGTACAATTCTCCAGGCAAATGGTAAGTTCACCGTTTTCATTTGTTAATGCGCCCTCGACGCGATTCACCTGCGTAATAAAAGTTGGCCTCTACTCAACAGAAAAGGGGGTCCGACCGCAATGTGCGAAAAACACCCTGAGAGTTGAGAGGCCCGTCATCCATTCCACGTCTATGGGAGCCTGCCGGGGGTTGTTAGTTAACATTGTGATGGCTTGCTCGGGGCTTGCCTTTAGTTTCAAAACAGAAACTTTGCGACACTTTTCTACAGCACGAGATGAAGACAAAAATGAGGAGGGATTATAGGATTTCATATTAAAAAATTGGGCAAGGCTTGACCATTCCTTTCGCAGGCTTCCAAAAAACGTAGCCTTGAGATTGAACAACGTGAATGTTTGTCAAAAACCGCATTGGTGTACTGGGAAACATGCTCCAGTGGAACCGTTGCTTTGTTATTCTTACTGGTTTTTATTTTTTCAGCCCACGCAATAAATCACCGCTTCTGACATATTAGTTTGCCTTCTACTACTGATAACAGCACCACCCGTCCTGGAATGACATCTGCCGAAGCCATACTGATAATGCCATCCTTTTTCATGAGCTGCGCGCCCCGCCCTGAGATGCGCAAATTGGGCTCATGGGCCTGCTGGGGCGCCGTTGGTGGGTTACGCAAGATCCCCCATACCATCTCAAAACGCCGACAAGCCTCGGTATTGAGCCTGCCGCGGATCTTATGAAGGGATAACGTGCCCACGCCCGCTTGCTGCAACATCAACCTTTCTTCATGTAGTCGTGCGGCTGCTACTGTTCCGCGTCTGCGTCGCAAAACGCTGTGGCAATGGAATAAANACATCAACCTTTCTTCATGTAGTCGTGCGGCTGCTACTGTTCCGCGTCTGCGTCGCAAAACGCTGTGGCAATGGAATAAAACCTATGCTTCTTTCTGCTACGGAATAATCTGTAACCACGGTTGATTGACGCGCCCCTCCAGGCGTATCGCGCCCATGGTGTTACCCCCTCGGACTTGCTGGCGGCCGCGGCCCAATGGCCTAGATAACGCCCTGCGCTGCGAGGGAATTCGGGAGGTTTCGTGTATTTTTCAAACTCCGCCGGAAAGCGGGGGTCCAAGTCTTGTTCCCCCGCGGCCGTTCCTGCGTGCGCCGGCGCCCCTCTTTTGACGGGGCGAAATGCAATTGCGCATGGGTTGGGGGTGTTTTCCACGTCGCTGATGGTGGTTTTGGTAGGGTTTTCGTTGCCGCCTATGCCCTTTGGCGCCGCATAAACCCTTTGAGCCCCCCCCCCCCCNAAAAAAAAAAAAAAAAAAGATCACATACCGTGCCGCTCTGTCTGGGCCGTTTTTGTTTTATGGAATCACCGGTCGTGGGCTTTTGGAGTCCGGCGGGCACCTTTTTGCAGGTGTTCGCCGCGCGGCTAGCCGCCTCGCAAACGGCCTTGTGTATTGAATCCCGCTGCCCTTGGCCAGCTGAAGGCTTACGATGAATAGGGGCACGGCTTCCCCCTGAGCATCCAAGCCGCGCGCCGCCACAAACTCGCAAACCCAACGCATTATGGAGAGACTTTGCCCCACTTTGCACAGATTCGCATGCGCATTGTGTGCCTTCCCACTTCCGATGCGGGGCCGCGGTGTACGCGTCGTGGTTTGGGGCGCGGATAATGGCGATGCCATTCGCCGATTGGAGGCGCCCCAATGCGCGATATGGGTGCGCCCCCTGCTTTTACAAGCCCCGATTGCCAAAAAGAGGTTATGCCTCGGTGGTTCCGTCCGTTCTCACGCCCGTTAAAAAATACACCGCGTCCACACCCACCCCCGCGACGGGTAGAAGGTAGGGTGGCTGGCATTGCGTAAATTTTTTTCTGCCAGGCCGGCCTGGATATGGGGATGTGCAAATCTGCTGGCCTGGAATTCCTCATTTGGGGGGCAGATACTCGTTTTNTTTTCGTTACGGAAGGGCACGTGATATTCACAGGACAGGTACTGCTGTAATGGTTCAGCTCCTCCCATCGATAGCGCCGTGATTTGCTGGGTTGGGGACTTCTTCTTGGCTTTTTGAACCCCCTGTATGATGGGATCGCCTTCACCAAAGGTTGCCTAAAGGACTGCTTTATGCCTTCCCGTCGCGCCCCTAGCTTGCTGCTGATGGCGCAATGCATCGCAAACTGTGGCATAGTTTTCGCCCTAATCAATTCATCTCGCCGGTGGGCCCCGCTTTGCGTATGCTATGCTCTTCGGATTGAAAACAGACCCACGCATCTGTGTACAATCCGGCCTGTGTGACTGGCAGCGGGGGGTGGCCCGAAAAGTGGCCCAAAGGTCTCGCGGTGGGCGCTCGGGGGCAAGCCATGACCCCTTCATAGGTACGTGCGGCGGCTTCTGGCCACCCCTCTCTTTAACAAGCTATCTGCCTCAGACCCTGTATTCCACTCAACCCCACATTTGGGCCGCCATCGCAGCCGTTTGTTTTATATTTTATGTCGGCCATAGCCCGGGCTGGGGCGGCGTTCGTCCGCTTACCTGCGGTGGGTGTGCTGGAAATTTTTTGTTAGGGCATCTCCTGCCTGGCATTCTGCGCTGGCGTTTTGCTGTGCTTAAAACGATTCATGTACAAGTTGCGGCCGTGCGCACTGGCACTAGTGCATCAAGCAAAATTCTTGCGTAGCCAATGCTGCCCATTGGGTGCCCAGCACGGAGTGTACCCCTCAAAAGCTAAAAAAATTTCCGAAGAACACGGCATTGTGAAGGACGCCATGGGGTGGCGCAGGGCTCCCCAGGTAAACGCCTTCTGGCCCATGCGTGCCACCAGCGTGCCGTTCTCCATGGTTAGGACTGCAGTAATGTGATACTGCAAATCTGGGCACGCCGATGAGTGTATGTCAAAATAAAATGAAGCAGGCCCATTTTGCGCAGGAAAGCTGTAACTGCCTGCGTGGCTGTCTGCCGCCCTGCCTCGTCATAGGAACGCTCTGCGGTCCTAAACGTGCGTATAAATTTGCCTCTTGGGGCTGATTTTTAAGAAATACCTAATTTTCCACAGGCTGCAATTAAAACCATAAACTGATCAAAAGCGTATTGTTGCGTTAGTGCCGTGGCAACGTAAGGAAAGAGACCATTCACATCGCAAGCTCAAAGAAACCACTGGTGAGTTAACAAAACAGCATGCGCCGCAGAAAATACCAGAAGGCGGTTCTTGCCCTCTACCACAGTCCCGTGCCTGCTCTTATGGCCGGATACGCACCTAACCGGATCGTGGACAACGGATCCAATAATATTTTTTACGGAAGGGGGAAAAGACGGAAAATTCACCAGAGATGCAACTTTTGGCGCGGACGTGTGAAGTTCAGGAATTAAGGATTAATTATTTGAAAATAGGCTTAAGCCAGAAGAAACAACCAGGACTTTTAAGGACAGGTTGGATTTTTTGTTTGCGGCATCACCAGAATAGCTGCCAGATCCTTCGTGGTCTGCTTTTAATGCCTGGGAAACTGGGATTTAATCGTGAACACAAGTTGAACAATTTCCTCCCTGGAGACACTCAATTCGCCACGTTTACATACCTGCCAAATTTGCACAATTAAGGTGGCAGCTATATTATCAGATTCGAACTTTTCGGACTGCAAGGGAAATCCATGAGTGAGAACCCAAGCCCGAACCAACACCATCGGTGACACCAGGAGAGGGGAGGGCGTGAGTATTTAGGCTGTTCAAAAGCAAAATGGTCTGCCTTACTTCATGGTAGAGGCGCATGTGAGGAGTAAAATATATTTGCCGTTTTCCTCGGAGCTTTGTTCATTTCCATATAGAGAAACCCCCTTCACCAAGAGAAAAAAAACAATGATTTTCCTCAGTGGCCCATTCGCAACCCATGAAATGGAAGATATGAAAACGCCCATAACCCAACCACCATCCAGCAGAGGGGGTTGGGTTGGGTGGGCTTTCAAAACTTACCCATTTTGCCGCAGTCTGTGATAAAATCATAAAGGCTCAAGGGTTTGTTGCTTTTTCTTCCCGCAGCGGCGCAGGGCGCTGGGCCATTCCCACCGCAGGCTGTCCAAAAAGAAAAAGAACCCCCCCCC